ACTCACCCACCGACTGACTGGCCAGCGGGCGTCAGAGACAGCTGACATTGCAAGTCTAGTGCCTCCAAGCAGAACAAGGCTTAACATTTGGAGTAACAGTGATATTCACTTCGATATTGTTCAAAGAAGGAAAAAATTAATCAGACTGCATTTTTTCCCCCAAAGTCCAACGGTACAATTCAGTTCCGTTTCCCTTCGTCCTGCTACCATAGGAACAACGCATGGACACATTTCCAAGGAATAGATATAGTACATAAAAGAGCAGTATTTGTAGTTTTCAATGTTTATGCTGCTCCTTTTTAGATTTATTGGATTGCAGTTGAAGCGATTTGCTCTTCATAAGTGCTATGATAAAACCCTTTGAATTTATAAAAGTCTTAGTCTCATTTGTTTGTACAGTACCAAACGCAAGGAACACTCGTAGGTCTACTGCATTAGGAGAAACCCCTCTTATTTGGTATTGTGCCAGATACCCAAACCGTCCAATCCCACTGTGGATTCAGTCTCTGTTGGGTGTGGCTGTGGCACGCAGAGAGGAAGTGTGCATTATTGTGTACACAGTGTCATTCTTGTGTACAGTTTGCTGCATGCACAGTTCAAAAGCTGTTGCTTCCTCTTTGCAGAGTTGTCCCAACAGTTTCAGGGGGACTGGCGGCCTGGGGGGAATCCAAGTTTTGAAAAAAGGGGGTAAGGTTCGTGAAGTTCCAAAGTCTTTTTGCTGCAATCGGCAACAATCGAAAAAAGCGAAACCAGCTCCGGTGGACGTAGAGTATGGACGGAAGAAAGGTCTATGGTGTATATTGCACAATGTAACTGTCACATGAAGGTAAATTGTGTCCTTTTTTTTTTCCTCCAAAAACTGGCTGACCATACAGACCGCTGGGCTTCATAACAAATCGGACGATAGAAAATTCAACACAGCACCGGTAAGCGCCTGGGTTGAAGGTGACCAGAAGGATCTGGGCTTGCAGACGTCAATGATTAGGTGCCACCGGACATAATAGGCATGTACGGAAACAGAGACACGCAGCGAGGTCGACAAATAATCTTCTGTCAGCTTATATGTTGTAATAGATATAAAATAATGCGCTTGGGTCTAGGCCTACAAATAAAGAGGACATTTAACAGCTGTGTCTATCCCTTTGAGAATACAAATCAAATAGTTAAGCTGATGATTGGTAGGGCCAGTCACGTGGCCAGGCCTTCTCTCTGCCCAGTGACAGAGTCGGTCACCAGTCATGTCCTGTACCACCTGCTGGCTCAGAGGTGAAACTGTGCAAGATTTCAGCTATTTCTTCAGTTACAAAAGAAACTAAAAAAGGCGGCTTGGGAAGGACCTATGCCAGAGAGCACTTAAGGCTAATATTAGTGCTGAGAAACAAACGTTAACATAACTAGTAAAGGTCTTTGAACCACATCATTGGCCATGGACATGCTGGGAATGGTTGTTTTAAGTTCTTATTTTGGGATGATTCTTCTTCTTTTTTTGGAGGGAAAAGGAAAGTCTCAGATGGCAGCTTTGATTGCTTCTCATAAAAAACTTCACACAGAATGTCATGTATACTTATGGAAAAACTAAAAACACTTAAAAGGTTTCTTTGTGTTGTGTCTCATTTCAGTTAGTTTTACATGATCAAAAATACCAAAGGGAAAAAATGTTTGCTTCTTTTCCCCAAAGGAGGTAAAACCAAACAAAAAAAAGGGACAAAAGTGAAGCAGAAGGACTGGAGTCAGCAGTCTGTGTGGTAGGGACTCCCGCCTTCTGATTCATAATTCACAGTTCAAATTGATACTGATTATCGCCACATGATTTGCTTGGGTTTTGCTCCTGTTTGTATAGACTTTTTTTCTTTTTTATCACCCACCCACCACCAATGCCTTACGTGACATGGTGGTGGTGGTGGTGGGTTGGTTGTTTAGTGTATCTTAGCATCCTCCTACATGGACTCCCCACTCAGCAGGTCTCCAGGCAGCAGGGTGTTGATGGAAGTGGGGCTCCCGATCCCCCTGTGGTCCTCTCCGCTCGGGGGTCCCCACAGGCTGGAGTACTGGGGCACGTTGCCCCACAGCAAGTCGCCTCCGCTGGGCTTGCCTCCGCCGCCACCGCTGCTCCACTGGCTCATGGAGTGGGACTGTCCGCCTCCGCCCATCCTGTTCTGATTGGCTCCAGGGTTGGCCTGCCAGCTGGTGGTGTTAGCCCCCAGCGACTGGCCTTGTGCAAAGAAGCGGTTCACCTCCTCCTCCCCGGCAAACTCCGCCAGGATGGTGGTGTTCCCAAGCACACACCTTACAGAGGATAAAAGAGGACATGTTAATGCTTTTGTATTTGAAATTGTTATTTTTACATTTCTATTCAACCAGAGATAAAAGGGAGTTATAGTTTTCAAATAGGACAGGACATAACTGACATTCTTTTTAAAGCGAATGGTAAGGGCGTTGCCAAGCTTATGTGGTTTTTAGACCTTGCTAAAACCACATTTTGTGTTGCTGATATTTAAAAGTGGGTCACACAGATGGTTTCCATGACAACCATCTGCAGTGGCTGCCACTATTAGCAAAGCTAAATTAAGGGCAAACTAAATACACAACCAGATTGGTTCTGAGATGGGGTTTCCACCCATTCAACTGTAACGTTTCAATACAGCTGACTACAGCATGACTCGCCACCTCCACTCTCATGTGACTGCCTAGTTACAAAAACAACATTGTCTACAGCAAGGGAAATCACCATTAATAAATGAGGAACATGTGTTGACCTTTTTCTCTTCAATTAGTTGCTTCACTTGGATATATAAAGGCAGAGGAAGTTGAGAAAAAACCAGTGAATGTCTCATGTATGTGTGATTGCTAAGCCCACGTTGGCTGGTGTCAGGGATTGGCTGAGGCTTACATGTGCAGAGACTTCTGGGCTTTTGCGGCTTCGTCCTTGGAGCTGTAGCGCACCACAGCGTTCCCCTGGGTCAGGTTGAGGTGGAATGTGATCAGGGGGCCGTGCTGCATGCACAGGGTCCGCAGAGTTGAGCCATCAATCTGAAGCACAAGAGAAAACAAAAGCATTTAAAACAATTGCAAACCGAAAGCACAACATCGTATTTGTTACATTTTGAGTATACCAACTTTACTCATGATAGAATGTGGCTTAAATCAAGCAATAGCAGCACAGAGCACGTACCTGTGGGGTGAGATTCCTCAGCACCAGCCAGCTGCTGGTCCTGTTGGAGCTGTCCGTACTCCAGGTGGTTGTCTCTGTAACAGAAATGTCCAATATTATGTTAAGTGTTAATCGTAACAAGAACAATTAAGTAGCTGAGCTGCAGAGTTTGTGATGATAAAGTGATGTCATTTTTCCCAAAAGTAATTATTTCGAGTTGGTTTAATAGTATATAGAGTAATAGAGTATGGAACAAATACATTGTATTTGTAATAGAACTCTAAAAGGGAGACTGTTAAACTTTACTTTCTTAGTCTCTGTAATGCTTCTTCAAGGGTTTAGAGTTTTTTTTTAAAACGGAAGAACATCTGTTATCTTTTCCCACACCTGATTCTTGTTTCTACTACTAGTAGTACTACTAAATGTACAGTTTCCTCTTCGGTCTTCAACGTGTAGTGTCAAAAAAGGTGCATGCATGTATTTTAAATGAGGCTTCTTGCAGAGCCGGTAAACCTCAAAATGTCAGTTTAGCAGGGTGTGTTCACCCTGCCTTTATTTAGCGAGCGCTGTCAGCGAAGGGTCGCGCCTGTGAACTTCAGCACTCCTACACATCCTGCAGTCAAGTCTGTGGTGGCAGGGTGTGAACTACATCATTAAGATTCATATTGGTAGCTTTCACTTGGTGAAAATCAAGTTTTTAATTTAAGAGCTATTTTGAAAACTCTCATTGTAAATTACATATTTTGGAAGAAAAAGTCTCAGCAGCAACATCACGTTTCCTCATAAGTTAATGGTGATTGTATCAGAATCAGAACTCTTTTATTTGACCCGCAGCGGGGACATTTACGGAATTACAGCAGCAAAGGTAGAGTGCAGAATAAAGTAAGAAGAGTAGACTTAAGTTTTAGATAAAAAGCAGGCACACGTTAATAATAAACAAGATTTTACTAGATTTTAAAGAGATCTAGAGTAGACTAGTGAAAATGAAACATGAGACTCAGAAGTGTCAATAAGCTAAGCCAGGGGTGTCGCACTCAAAGGGCCGGTGGTAACTATATAAATATACATATATAAATATATAAAATAATGTATTATATGACATTATTGCCTCTGAATAAGTTATTAGCCTATCCGATAATAATCCAATTCAGAGGCAATAATGTCATATAATACATTATTTTATATATTTATATATGTATATTTATATAGTTACCACCGGCCCTTTGAGTGCGACACCCCTGGCTTNGTTGTATGGAAATGTCTGGTATACAGTTCTATTGCAAATGAGATTTCTTTAGACATAGGCCTACCTCTTCTCTGATACAGTCACATTCCGTATGGGGGATAAGTGGCACAATAGCCTATAAGTTAAGAATGCTCACTCTGATGGTCATTATATTTGGAGAGGGAAATACCAGGTGGCTGAACTAAATCACCAAATAGTCAGAATAAGAGTAACCCAATACAATCAAGTGTATTAGTTCTAAATTGCAAGCCTCTAAAACATAGGTGTACTGTAAATAGTACAGGTTTTATTGAAACTGGAACCTTAATTCAAAGTACAGTATACAATTCATCAAATAATTCTGTGAGAGGTCAAGTATATAAACTAGAATATAATGTTAAATGTCAGGTTCCTCAGAGACGTTAGGGGACACATTTTTTACATTCTGCACAGCAGGTGCAGAGGAAGTAAGGGAAGGCCAACAGAGAGGCACTGGCACTTTCCACTCTCTCCACACTTTGCATCTTTGCAATACAAATGAGTAATGTCTCTCACT